CACTTTATGGGTGGATTAAGTATAGCTATTATTAGGGAATGTAAATTTTTTAGTATAGTTTAATCTCAATAAAAAGTAGCAGGACAGCCGAATTATAAAAAAAAAAATTTTTATATAATTATTTTTTTAACTTTAATTACAATTATTTTTTTCACTTTGGCTATCTTGTTAATAAAGATTATTTGGTTATAAATATACAAAATATTGAGTTTAATATTTAGATCTTACATCTTGCAGTTACTTTTAAGAGCACTTATAAGTAATTAGCTACATTAGGCAGATATATCTACAAAAGACACATTACAAGAAATCTAAAAACCTACTTATTTTAGAAAGCCTTGTCAGACTACTACTCTATAATAAAATACTGCCAATCTGATAACATCTTCTTATAAGAAAGTAAAAAAATAAAAAAAACTAACACCAATACTATCACTAAAAAGGAGAAAAAAGAAAAACAAGAAAAAAAGAATTTAATAATTACAATTATAAGTCTGTATTAGGCTATCAAATTTGTATATTATAAGATAAAGATACTCTATATCTAACTATATTCTAATAATATATATATATCTAAAAAAACAAAAAAAAATATACATAAATTAAACTAAACTAAGCTAGATAAAGTAGATAAAAAGTATCTTTATAGGCTTAAATTATTGTTAAATATTTCTTTTAGTTGAAGTATATAACTTTTTGTGTTGTTATAAACATGCTTAGTTGCTTACTTCAGACATTTAGCTGGTTTTGTGTTTATTTTTATTTTTATTTTTTATTTTTTTTGGCATATTCTGTTACTGTTTTTATTAAGATAGTAACTAAGCAAAAATTATATAAATTTTTAACTATACTTATTCTTTCTTTAATTGTAACAAGTGATTTACTTGACTTAAAAACCCAAGTGCAACATCATCTAGTAGTCGTTTGCTTCCCTCTGGGCCTCTAACTTCCTAGAGGCATAAATCCTTTGATTATTGGCTGGTGCTACACACTGTATCAGTATTATCTTTTCTTTTTACAAAATAAAATACAAATACAAAATCAAAGGCCAAAAAAAAAATAATGTGATACTTCGACATTCAAATTCAATCCACCTAATCAAATAAAACTAAAAAACATATAAAAGAAAAACAAAATTAAAGAAAAAAAAACAAAGATAGCATTATTAAATCTGTGTTAGATTGTAAAAATTATATAGTACTACTAAATAATCTAATCTAAACTCTATACTAGTTATTTATGACAATATTGAGATATATAAAATATTCATTCTTGAGTAAAGATCTAAGTTTGAATTTCACTTGCAGTTCTACCAGGTTCAGTATAGTATCCTGCAATGTATTTTTGTATTAATGCTTGTTTCTGGGCAAAATTAAGTGATCTATGCTTTTTTAGCTTCTGTAGATCTCAGTGTAAACACCGTAACTTCTTGAGGTAACCAATCAGATATTATTACTATAAAAGTTTGACTTATATACTCGGGTATTTCTCTAACTGATTTTAGTATCTCGGGTACATATGTAGAGAGGATATACCGTATTAGCAGGGGTACATATGTCAGACACGATTACTGATTGGTAAAATTATGTGACTTCAGCTATCTCTGATTGGTCACAATCATGTGAACTTTGACGATAATTTTTTTAACTGCATAGATAAGATTCCGTGAAAAAAATTTGTAACAAATCTTTAACCAAGGCATAAATCATCTTGAGCAAGACATTGGCTCTAGAACCATACTGGCCCTAATGGCTCGATAATTTGTCTTTGATTAATAAATATTGACTATAAAGTTTGTTAGTGTGCATTAGATCTGTGAAAGTGGAACAGAAAAGGATGAATTAAAGTATTCATTTATTATCGAAAATCTGCCAATATGAATAATTATAGTGAAACATATATAGTTGATTATTATTAATAGAGTAGAATTGGTATTGAAGAGAATGAAAACAAGACATTTATTTTTATCAAATCTGTTGAAATATGTCATGACGGATTTATAGTTTTATGTGAGAAAGTGCTATCGATTTTGGCTCAATAGCTTCTGGTGACCTTCCAGTTACTTTCCAGTAGCAATATTATACCTGACGATTAATAATCTCTAAATTTTTTAACGAATGGTAAGCTACTATTAATAATTTTAAAGGTTTTCTTTTTTATACTAATTTTCAGTTTTTGTTTAATTTAATCTTAGACTGAGTTTTTTTAATTCATTGTAATGCTCACTGAAATTTATACATACAAATTTACATCATGATGGACATGAATTTGCATAATGTGTAACGTTTTTTTACGTTAAATTAAGTGGAATCGATAATTTGTATTACACAAATTATTTGACACTTTTGACAGAAAAACAAAAAAAAAAATGTCTCCACGAAAAAAAAGTATTGTGAAAAGAGCTCATGATACCAAAAAAGTCCATTGTTCTTGGAGTGCCTGCGAAAAACTTATGGTCATTTACTATTTTGAACACATTCAAAAAGTGAGAGAAACTGCAAGACGGTTTGATATCGAACCCAAACAAGTTCATGACTGGTTAAAGAAGAAACAAGAGCTTTTAAATGCTGCTCTCTATGTTTTAACACTAAACCGTGATCGACAAGCCCAGTATTCATTTTTAGAAGAAAAGCTTATTGAATGAGTTGAAGAACTTTGCAAAAGGCATATGGCTATATCACGAAACATGGTTATCAGAAAGGCCAGATCATTAGCTAATACTATTGAAGTAAAAAATATCCACACTGATATTATTAATTTTAGCTTTTCCAATAGTTGGTTAAGTAGGTTTTTATACCGTAATGATCTATCAAACCGCTGGCGTACAATTATTACGCAACGTCTCCCTGATAATCTTATTGATCTACAAAATGAATTTTTAAGCTATGTCTTATTCAAACGTAATTAATATAACTACCCTATTGAATGTATTGAAAATATGAACGAAACTTCATTATCCTTTGACCTGCTATACCCAGTTACACTTGAAAAGCGTGGAGCCAAAACTGTAAGCATACGAACAACTGAATATGAAAGAACAAATTTTACTGTAATTCTCAGGTGCTTAGCAGATAGAAGTAAACTTCCTGCTGTTTGTATTTTTAAATTGAAAAATATTCCTCATGAAATATTTTCTGAAGGCATTATTATTAGGGTAAATGAAAAAGGATGGTGCAATGAGCATAAAATGATTAATTGGATCAATAATGTTTGGGTTAAGCACAATAAACTTGGTGAATTAGAAAACCCACGATCTCTTTTTATTTTGGATTCTTTTAAGGCTTATCTGATGGACTCCATTAAACATCAATTTAAGGAAAAAAATACTGATCTTGCAGTAATTCCAGGTGGGCTGACCAATAAATTGCAACCCCTTGATATTGCAGTAAACAAAAGCTTTAAAGAAAAGATACAGTAATATATATTAAAATATTTTTTATTAATCAGATATAATAACTGTGGTTTAAATTTATTAGATGCGCTTCCATTATAACCAATGAATGATCAGTATGACTCATGAATTTACACCTTCTGGACGTATTAAAAAACCCTCATATTCTACTCTAGCTCAATGAGTACTTGAATCGTGGAATGAAGTTGATCCTCACTTAATTAGAAAAGCATTTAAATGCTGTAGTATATTAGTAAAAATGGATGGGTCAGAGGATGATTTGATATTTGATTATGAAAATTTGATAAACATAAATGATGAAAATACTGAAGAGACTTTAATTGTTAATGATATCGATGGTGATAAATATGAAACAACTGAGAGAACCGAAAATGACAATGTTTGGGAATAATAGTTAAATTTTATTTGTTTTATCATTTTTAGAATAAATTTGTTAAATATTATGAAAACAAATAAAAATATAAAGAAATATTACTAAGAACATTAATACAGATGATGCCAAGATGGTTCTGAAGTTCAAATTAATGATCAATATCACTAATTCTGCATTAAGTTATTATTAACATGAATAAAGTGGTCTTTTTATTATTATTGTTATTTAAAGAATTTGCGTTATAATTCATATTACTTTATATATAGTGTTAGCTGATACAGTAATATTGATAATTTTGTGAGCTGCTCCGATATTATATGTGAATATTTATTGTATTGTTAAAGGTATATACCTGGGTATAAATCATCGTATTGTACTGTTAATATTCAAAGGTATATGTTATATATACCTTGTACCTGGGTATAAATCACCATCTATCTGTTAAAACTTATGGGGGTACACGGCATGGGGGATACACAAGTCAGACTTTTACAGTATTATTCATATATTTTTTATTAAAAGATGATTTCAGAGTACATAAATTAGATGTTGAACTGAGTTAAAACAACTCTTCATATACATTCTAATTTCTTATAACATGAATACCAAGGTAGTAATGTCTATGCTACAGATGGTACGTTTATACTCTAATAGCAATATATACATCTTACTGTTATGTTTATATGCCTTGAGTAACATTTATATACTGTAATTAAGCATCTAAAAGTTAGAGTATTCATCAAATCAGTAAATCAAACCATATATATATCAGGATTTTTTATGAGTTTTTAATAATTTCAGAATTTTCAGAAAATTGACTTTTTTAATTTAGTGATAAATGTTGAATATTGTAATCATACCTTTTTTAATATAACTACAGATACATTTTTGAGTGAAAAATTCAAATTTTTATACTATATTTTTTTTAAATTGATAGCTTTTATTATATTTTTTTTAACAATAACCTTGGTTTAGAAAATTTAAATAACTTTTTTTGTTAAATTTAGTTAAAAATTTACTATATATACTTATAAAATAGAATAAATTAAAAAAAGCTCTATTACATTAAATTATATAAAATTCTTTATATTTTAAAAAAAAGTAACTTAGTAATTATGATACTATAGTATAGACAACTTAATTTCAACTAATAAAAATTTTTTAGTGGCCAAATTCAGATTCTATTTTTTAAATATATAAAGAGACTAATTTAAAATTTAGCTAATATTTATATATAAAGTGGCTAAATTTAAAATTTTAATACTGTCTATATAAAAATAAAATTAATTGTTTAAAGTGATCAAATTTGCTTTTTTTATATATATAAAAGGTGTCTAAATTTCATATTTAATTATAAAATACTTTTTTATAAATAGATTTAAAAAAAATTTTAAAAACTTAGATTTAGGTTGCAGATAACTCCAATGTAAGCTCTGTCTGAGTCTCTAGTCTTAGTATCCTTTGGATATAGAGTTCAAAT